AAGCAGGGCAGGCTGCCCTCCTCACAGACAAGTGACCTTTTCTATCAGCATTACAGCATTACTTTCTCTACCCCACGCTGATTAAGTCAAGACCCCCTCCAAGTGAGCTGAATTTTAACATCTGACTCAGAGCTGCAGTGCAGAGTGAAGGCCGAGGCACACGGAGCCAAACAGCTGGTGCTGTGTCTTTGTTCAAAGAGTGCAAATAAAATGAGGGAGAACTAAATAAAAATGATATTAGAAAGCCCTGCTTGCTCTTCCCTGGTAGCACTCAGTATTTATTCCTGTTTTGAGGTGCTTTGTCAGGAATGCAGGGGAGCCCCTTGCCTGCAGTGCTCAGTGGTGCAGAGCTCTGGGAATTTGGGTCCCAGCTGCAAGGAAGGACATGGACAGGCAGGATAAAAACTCATTTCTGCACGCTGTATTCTGCTGCACAGAAAGGGGGATTTAGTGCAGAAACTTATTTAAGGGAAGCACTCGCTGGATTGCTGCAAGGCAGAAGTTCCTGTAGCAATTCCCTCTGTCCCATGGAGTAGAGGGGGATGTCACAACCTCAGGAAGCACCTCAAGCACCACCTGAGCTCCTCAGGGCTGAGAGGCTCCAGGATGAGCAGAGGGATGGAGCAGCTCTGCTGGCAGGAAAGGCTGGCACAGCTGGGATTGTTCACCTGCACAGGAGAAGCTTTGGGCTGAGCTCAGGGTGGCCTGGCAGGGCCTGGAGGAGCCCCAGGAAAGCTGGAGAGAGACAATTTCCAGGGATGGAGGGACAGCACACAGGGAATGGCTCCCACTGCCAGAGGGCAGGGCTGGGTGGGAGATTGGGAATTGGGAATTGTTCCCTGGCAGGGTGGGCAGGGGCTGGGATGGAATTCCCAGAGCAGCTGTGGCTGCCCCTGGATCCCTGGCAGTGCCCAAGGCCGGGTTGGACACTGGGGCTGGAGCAGCCTGGGACAGTGGGAGGTGTCCCTGCCATGGCAGGAGTGGAATGGGATGAGCCATAAGGTCCCTTCCAACCCAAACTATTCTGTGATTCTATGAAGCACAAGATTTACTGCTTTAATTTGAGTAACATCCAGAAACAGCTGAGCCTGAACCAAAATAGATTCAAAAACCACCTCAAAACTGAGCTGATACTAAATTTGACCTCCAGCACTGACTGGAAGAAGTATTTTTTGCCCAGATTTTTCTCAAACAATTATTAAACTGAAAAAGTTAGTGAAAAAAACCAAAATTCCCATGAGCCTTGGAAAGCCTCATGACCACAAATGGGCACCACAGGGCAAACCAACCTGCAGCTCTGAGTGCCTGACCTCAGTCAGCTCCATACTGGGATGCTCAGGAAAGGAAATATAAGATTACTGCCCAGTAGGACACAAAAAAGTGCATTCACAGAATGATTTAGGTTGGAAAAGACCTCCAAGATCATCGAGTCCCACCTGATGTCCACCTTGTCCCTAGTCCAGAGCTCTGAGTGCCACCTCCAGGCTTTACTTGGACACCTCCAGGGATGGAGACTCCAAACCCCCCTGGGCAGCCCCTGCCAATATTTAACAACCTTTTCTGTGAAGAAACTCTTGAAACAATTGCTTGAAACAACAAAATCTTCACTGAACTTTATGCCCAGACAAACCTGCACCTCCGGAATTCCTTTCCTTGCCAGACAAGGTGGCAGCTGGGGACTGTGGGGATTTTTATTTGGGTTTAAACCACAAGATCTCTACCACAAGCCTTGCAGGAAGAGAAATTCCTGTCCATAATTATAGAAAATGTGCCTCTCACAATACCTGGGATTAAGGTTATTTATAAAACTCCCACAGGCTGTTTTTTGCTAAAAAAAAACAAAACCAAAAACTACTAGATTTTAATAGTTGTTAAAAGTAAATATTCCTCTATACACACAATCTGATAGGGAAGATGGAAGAACATAAAAAAGTGGAAATTCTAAGGGCAGGTACTGAACCCACTGTTGCAGAGCATTTCTTCACACATGGCATTACCAGGTTATCCCAAATTATTTCCTGCCACTTGGAAAAAGCCCACAGCAACCTGATGGAGCTACATTGGGCTGTCTTCATTCCAGATTCAGGGTGAACAGTTCTGCACCAGCACCTTCTAAGGAATGAACAAAGACTGCCTTGTTTCTGACAGCATCCACAGGGGTTCCTGCAAGTGTCCTCCAGGGTTTAAGGGTGGAAACAGCCAGGCACAGCATTCTGTACTACTCACTGTGCTTATTCTGCACAAAAATATCTTTATAATCCCACTTTGGAAGGGAACTCAGTGGGGCAGCACAAAGGGAATAGCAAACCCACCTCACAACCTGCTTTGGCTCCACCACAACCCTTTCAAACCCTAATTTTACAGGATGATGGATGCTGAGGTTTTCTCTGCTGTGCTCTCACCTTTCCACAGTGGCTGTTCTCATCCAACCTTTCCTCCCACAAGTTGGGTTTTTTTCTTTAAATTAAATGAGGCTGTACATTCTCTGTTCATCTGTTCAGTAATAAGACTCCTGCCTTCAGTGATTGTGACTTTATTATTTTCATTATTATTTTTCATCTTCCCTTTTGTTAATTCCCCATGAAGCAGCTTTAAAGTCTCTGGAACCGACAGAATAAAAGGCTGCTTTTATTCCATGAAAAGGGATCCAAGTCAAACCTAAAAGAATTAAAATATCAATGCTGAACATGAAATATGGAGTTTTCAGTGTAAGAAAGCACGTTGGAATTTTCTGATTCAAACACAGGGGAAGAACCTGTGCCCTTCTCAATAAATGCTTTATGCAATTGTCCTTTAAAGGTACATCACTATTCTCATGGAATATTTCCTACTTTTTTCAACGGCCAAAATTTCCCATCCAAAGAACTTTTAAACATTTAGTTATACAATTGTTTGACAGACAAAAAAAAAACTCGAGTTTAACCTTCTTCCACACACACACAGTTTGGGGTCTGTGGCCCTCCCTCACCTCAGGATGCCCTGATAGCAAAGTGAAAGGAGTGCTTTGCATTTCTATCCCTGTGAGTTAGTGCTTTCCTGCAGTATTTTCTGCATGGAACTCTCAGGTACCTCTGCTCATCAGCTATTCTGGGAGAGCTCTCACCAGGAGCTCAGTGTTTTCTCCGAAGTGAAAAAGCCTGACCTCAGAGCTGTGATCTCACTTGGCTCAAGGAGGTGCCTGGAGGTGCTGGTTGTTGCTATGTGCAGCAGCTGTCAAAACTTTCAGTCCAAAATATTTATAGGGAAAAAAAATATGCAGATCTGATGGCACCAAAAAAGAAAAAAAAAGTAAAACATTAATCTCTTTGATTTTCATTTTATTTTTAGCTCGTTTAGATCTGTCATTGTTTTAGACACAAACCAGAATGTTAAACAAATCAGGAGGAATGATCTAAAACAAAATACTTGCCTTTTTCATTTTTTTTTTTTTTTTGGCACAAAAACTGTAGAATTACATGTCAGGAGTGATGTTCTTCCTCTGCAGCTTTGGCAACAAAGCACTTGGCAGGGCAGAGCCAATGTGAGCACGGAATGTAGGAAGAATTAAATTGTTTCCTGGAGCTGATGAGACCTTACCCAGGAATGGGAATGATGAGAGTCCTGTCTGCATCCACAGCAGGTGGGCAGCAGGGGCTGGGATTGTCCCTGTGTCCCACAGGTGAGATCCCACCTGCAGAGCTGCCCCAGCCCTGCCCCAGCCCAGCAGGAGCTGGAGCTGCTGCAGAGAGCCCAGAGGAGGCTCCAGGATGAGCAGAGGGATGGAGCAGCTCTGCTGGCAGGAAAGGCTGGCACAGCTGGGATTGTTCACCTGCACAGGAGAAGCTTTGGGCTGAGCTCAGGGTGGCCTGGCGGAGCTGAGAAGATGGAAACAGAATATTTACAAGGACATGGAGTGACAGGACAACAGGGGAGGAGAAAAAGGGAAAGAGAGTAGGATTAGATTAAATATTAGGAAGAAATTCTTCACTGTGAGCATGGGCAGGGGCTGGCACAGGTGCCCAGAGCAGCTGGGGCTGCCCCTGGATCCCTGGCAGTGCCCAAGGCCAGGTTGGACACTGGGACTGGAGCAGCCTGGCACAGTGGGAGGTGTCCCTGCCATGGCAGGGGTGGAATGAATGATTTTTAAGGTCCCTTCCAGCTCAAACCTGTCTTGGACTTCCCCTTTGTACAGCCCTGCTCTCACACCTGTGGCCTGCACTGCACAGACTCCAACAGCTCCCAAGGCAAAAGCAAAGGAGCCTCCATAAAATGCACCTTGGGTCCAGGACTTTTAGGTCAGGCACATCACCTTGGGAGTCAGAGCCTTCAGGAATGAGGAAACACCTCTGCCCACTAAATAAATTCTGCAGTGTGACAAAGCAGAGTGGACTTGAGCATAGCCCTTGATTTGGAAGACACTCAGCAGAAGATAGATCAGTTTTGTCAAAAAAAAAAAGGTAATAAATAGCTTAAATGTCTTTAAAAAGTGGGGAAAAAACCCTCTTCCATTCTCACAATTTACTCTGGTTCCACAATTTGCATTTAGGAAATACCTCAGGAAACCAAGTCTTACACAATCTCATTTCAAACTTCTCCCCCCAAAGCTTTGAAGCCATCTGCCACATTTGACAAGTCTGAAGTTTGTCAACTCCTACCAGGATTAAACCCAGCAGCTGTTAGGAAACAAGAAAGCCTCACTGCAGGCTCTTGGTAGATACTGGAGAGCACAGAAGGGAAAATAAAAAAGGCAGCAACATTCAAATATTAAAAAAATCTTCAGTCAACACTCACATCTTATGACAGACACAGTTCATCATTAGTTCTGAGGCTTCCAAATATTTAAGGGGTGAATATGAGTTGCTTCTTACATGAAAATATGGGAAAAAGCAGAATTTGGAATTAAAATCTCTTATTTTACTGCCCTACAGTACTTCCCCACTACATCCTACCTAAACATTTCCTGCTATGGAGATTTCAAGCAAGAATAGTGAATTCTTGAGGAATTCTACCAGAACACCAGGTTTCAGTCTGATTTCTTCTCCCAGGCTGCCCTGGTTTTGTTTGCCACTTTTATTCAAGATGTTAGGAGCATTCTCACACCTCAGCATAAAGTCAGGTAGTAAAAACTGAATTAAATATAATACAATAACTGTTCTGAAACATTGCAAACTGCCTGGGTGAGCACACAAACACCAGAAATCCATTCACAATTCTTCTAAGGGTCTGCATAATTTACTATTAAAGATATTTCCTGTTATCTGCTTTATTTATTATGAACCAAACACGTAAAAGTAAGAAAATGGTGCTGCCAGCTTTCAAAACAACAAAATTCTCAGCTCAGATCACACATAAAACCAATTTCTGAATTAAAAGGATGGACAGAAACAGGAAAAAAAAAACAACAAAAACAAAACAACCCCAACACCAACAAAGCTTCAGAATTTGATCCAAAATCCAGCACCACTTTAGGCAAGATCTGCTCATCTGTAATTACCTGAAGTGAAAATTTAAATCAGTGACAGTTCTCTGAAGGAAAACTGTTCAAAAATATCTACTGAGCATCCAGAGTGAGTCAAAGTTGCACCCAGCAGAGAACATAATTACCTGGGAGCAAATTAATATTTTTAACACCATTTTCTTACACAAAATGTAAATTAAACACAGTACAACTGAGAACTGCACCTCAATCCAAGTTAATAAGTGAAATAAACTGCTGAAATTGTTACCAACTTCCAGAGAATTTTCTGAGACAGTTTAAAACATTTTAACTTCCTCTAAAAATCACATGCTCTGCCTAAGAGATCTTTTACTATTCCTACCATTGCCCAAATTTTGGTGTTTTAAAGTGAATTAAATCAGTTTGCCCTGACAAATCCAGCTGAAGCAGCCTATCATCCTGCCAGTCCCTTTGACCAGGAGAAGTTATTTTTCACTAGCAAGTTTTAAAAGCATTTACCATACTTTAATTACTGCATTTTGTATCAACACATACATTAAAAAGGGCATGTGGAGCCATTAACATAAGCAAAATTCTCTGTGGATGGAAAAGGACAGAGAGTGCATGCGATTACAGACAAATATTTGAAGAACATAAAATATTAGAAAAACCTTCAGATCTCAAAATAAACTAAGAAAAAGGGAGAGGTCTCGTTAGGTACAGACTGAATTCCTTATCTGCATTTCCCTCTTTGAAATATAAAAGGAATACTTTTAGGTAAGGCAATCCCTTCAGGAGGAGAAAAAGGAGTTGCTTCTCATATCCAAGATATCTTTCCTAAAATCACTCCAGAAGAAAGTCTTCCAAGCCATGCAGAAGGGTGTTTGCAGTGATGAAGTAAAAAACAAGAAAAATGAGCGGGAAAGTAAAAATTTACTGGAATTTATTCTACTTTTCAGGGGGAAAAAAAAATCCCAGAAGTCCTCTAGAGAAGAAACTAGAGTTTACAAAATTGCAGCATAATTGTCCTTGTCAGATGTAGATATTATTGTGACTTTCACTGGTTGTCAGGAACTTCTTCAAAATCTTTGTGCTTTCAGAGGCATCCTGGGGAGAGGAAGAGAGGATCAGCATCACCCACAGTGCTGGGAACAAAGCAAGAGCCCCACTGGCCTCTGCTCCCATTTTCATTACTCTGAGCATCACTTTTATTAAAATATTAACTGGGAGCAAAACTCAGATCTTCTGAATGAAGTTATGCACAGGAATCTGCACTGCAGCAAGAAAATGGGATTTATTATTCTGCATTCCTCCTTGCTTGGACATGAGGGGAAGAGTCTCTGTGTTTGTCATTGTACTCCTTCAGAGTTTAAATATTTATGTCTTACTCAGACTTATTCAGCAGAACAGAATGAGCTGCACTGAAAACTGATTTTAGAAGTGAAATAAACACCACAGTACACACAGACTTCTCTGGCATTTAAATCTGGGTTCAAAGTGTTCTCAACCAACTAAAATTCAATTCAAAACATTTCAGAAAGAGTAAAGCATACATTTTAGGAGCTGCAAGGGGAATTTATGGGAGCAGTGGGATTTACTGTGAGGGTGGCAGGCCCTGGCACAGAGAAATTGTGGCTGCCCCATCCCTGGAAGTGTTCAAGGCCAGGCTGGATTAGTGTAAAAATTTCTTCAGCAATTTGGTCTTTTAGCTCCAAAACAAAGTTATAGGTCAAAATGGGTATTTTAAGAAGCTTTCCTGTATGCCAGAAGAGAGGCAGATACAGAGCTTCAACAGAGCCATCTGGTATACAAATATAAAATGTAAAAATAAAAAAAAAACCCACACAACAAAAAGCTTAAAAGTTTTAAATGAGGCAGCTCCAAAGGAAAGCTGCACAAGAAATCCCTCCCTGATATATTCATACCATTAGAACAGCCTGAAAATTCAAAATGAAGTTTTGAAGGAAGATTTTTTTGGTAGATTCATTATTTCTAAGCCACACAGATGTTAGAGGAGGTTTCAAAGCACTGCCATTAAAATCTGTATTTTTCTGCCTTTTCAGATGAAATCCTCACAGGGGAACAAAACCAGCAGAACGCAAGAGATGAAAACAGACAAAAGCTCCCATTAATTTAAAATACGGAATTTTTACCTTGGCTAAACTCTTCAGGAGTTGAGAAGAGAGCAGAGGCTTGAAGGCTTCAATGGTCACCGTGTCCAGCTTGATGACATCAGTGTAACACTGGTACAGCACTGCAGGGATCTGCCACACCTGGCAGTAACTCAGAACTGAGCACAGGTCAAAAGAAAAGCTCTGATAAACTCAGCAGAAAAGGAACCTCTGCTCTATAAAATCAGAATTTTACACCCATGGGAGTTTAGTTACCAGCTCAGGATCCTGACTGCTGGAGCAGCCATTCCTTATCCCCCAGCTACACAAGGAAAATTAGTTAAAACCAAAAATTAGTTAAATGCAGGTATTTCTTCCTGGCACATACCTTACCTGGAAACTGTACATAAAAATAAAAAACTGAAATGAAAATAAAAAACTGAAATGAAAATAAATAAACAAAAATAATAAAATATTTTATCAAATATTTAATAAATATTTTAAGATATATTTATTTAATAAATATTTAATAAATATTTTATAAAATATTTAATGGAAAATAAAAAAAAAATAAAATAATAGCAACATCTGCAAAAAAACCCAAACAACCCGCCTCTCCTGCCCCCCAAAAAAAAACAACATAAAAAGGAATGTGAATGAACAAGAGAAAATCATCCACTTTTAGCTCCTCCTCCTCAAGCTTTTCCTCATGCTGCTATCATTAAGGGTTCTAGAATGAAAAACTCTAGGTTTTTATTAAATTACACCATAAAACTGACCCTAACTTTTCCACGAGGCTGATCAGTAGACCTGTGCAAGCTTCCTTACCTGTTGCACACAGAAAGGACTTTATGAACTTTTACTTTGGATGCTCAGATGAAAATAATTCCTAATAAAACTTACTTAATTACTAAGTAAAATTCCCAAAAAATCCCACTGTACAATATACTTTGTAAGGCTCTACTGAAGAATTTTCCAGTACTTCTGTCCCACACATAGCTGATAAAATGATCTGTGGCTGGTTTGGAAAACTGTCCCTATTTTCCAGGGCAATGTGTAAGATGTGAATCTGTCAGTAATTAATTTTTAAATAGCTGACTTGTAAGCCAATTCCCACAACTAAGCAAAAATTCTAATTGCAGTGGGATGCTCCTCAGGGGCAATTTTGTGTTGCCACCAGCAGCCCTGTAAAAAATTGAAATTGCAAAGTACCAGCAGCAGGGAGGTCCCTCACAATGTTGGGCTGCTCCAGCAGCGGGCAGCAGACCTGCTCCTGGAATTCTTTGGTCTTCAAGGCTTTCAGGAATGGAGATACAAGTGTCAGAGTGGATTCCTGAGTTTTATAATCAGCTACAGGACATGTGGAAAGGATGGTTACTTGCAAGTCTTTCTTCTGCATGGAGCCAAAAACCTGAAATTAAAAAAAATACATCAACAAAAGTTCTCTTCTCACAATAAAAGCAGAGGAACCTCAAGGATTCATTTCAATTTCAGTGCAAAGGGCACTTGGACTCAGGTTTGCAGGACCAAAACCAGTCTGAATCACAGCCTTCAGGTACAGATTTGTCAGGCATCGCTCCTGGGATGGAGATAAAAACCCCCAAAATAACAGCTGACATATTTACCAAGTCTAGTGATCTGCTGGAAAAGTTTTCAGCACTTTCTAGTCAATATATTAAGATTTACTGCTTTAATTAATGGTGATTGAAAGAAGAAGGATTCCAAATAAAAACAAGCAGTTCACTGAGCTGCATAACATTTGAAATAAAAATTGTGCCCCATGTCCCACAGTACTGTAAAAGACTTTCTTTTAAATGCACAGGGTTTATTTAATTCTATTCAAGTCCAGTCGAGAAAGAAAATTTAGGATTCTCTTTCTCAGATTCAAAGAACCAAGTTTCACACAAACCTTCTGGCTATCACAAAATACCAATAGGAGAAAAGAAAACAGAGAATTTGGAAACTGTGACAGAAACTTGCCTGTTTCTGTCTGCGTACCAATCCCAGGAGGGAAGCTGCCTGTGCCATCACTGTGTCACCACTGTGCCAGAAATCTGACAGAAATATTCAGAAGCTCACATATTTTCCACTTGCTTTGTTGGGAACACTGTCTGGAATTAATGTCTGCAAAACTCCAACCTGTGTGTTCTGGTTTGTCAGTGATCCTTACAGAGAAAACACGCCCAAATGTAAAGATATGACTTGTGGAGATGGGAGATGCTCAGTAAATCAGGATTTACACACAGAACGGGGCTGCAACTCACATTAAAAGCAAAAAGACTGCCAGCACATTGTTTCTGCTGCACATTTAAAAATACCAATAACCACAAAATTTAAAAATACTCAGGAACATTGACTTGGTACAAGCACACTCCTACAGTTCAGGGACACCCACAATGGAAATCACACATATCCACAAACAGCTGGGGAAGACAACAACCCCCCAGCCATCCTACTTTTGCAATCCCACTTTAAATCAAGTGCAGGAACATGTGGAATACAGCAAAAGCAAAACATTTGAGGTCTCAGGGCTTTTAAACTTCCAAATGAGCTGTGATTCCCCAGCAAAGCTGTACTTATCTCTAAGCCCAGCTTTAGAATCCCTGCTGGTCCATCAGCTCAGCAGAGATTTAAAGGCAGGCAGGGAAGGAGCAGACAGACAACAAGACAAAATAGTAAGCCACACTTCCTCCAGGCAAAGCAGTGACCCAAATCCATCAGCAAAAACAAGAGGAGGAACATTTGCCCCTGGCTTTATCTTATTAAAATAAAAATGATGATATTTGGAGAGACTTCAGTGAGCCAGCAGTGCTCCTGTACCTCCGTGATGTTGGGAATGTTAAATCTGGGAACAAATGGGACAAATGCTGCTTGGGAGACGCTTTCCCCTCCAGCTCCCCCTTGGGAAAGGCACAGAACACCCCCAGCAGCTGACACCATCCACCAGGAGCTCCTCAACTGGTGATCTTTTGGCAGCTGTACAAATTGCTGTTGGTTTTTTCAAGGAAAAATTCTCCCAGAGGTGAAATACAGCTGAAATAAGCCATGGGAAATGAAAAGCAAGCAGGAAAAAGGTTTGGGAGGTGGTTAAGGGCCAACAAAACTGAACTGTCCAAAAGGAGTGACTGCACTCGGCTGGGAGGTTACAGCAGGTACAGCTGGCAGCATCTAGAAAGGGTTTTTACAGGTCCTGCAGAGAGTAAATTTATCTATTTTTGAATATTTAATAAAATAAAACCACAGGGGAAACTTATTTAACACTGTCATGTCTAAAGTATCAGAGAGGAAGATCCCCACCCTTAGGATTTTATTACTCCATTTATTTTCTTGACAGTTTTACCTTCTCAAGCCACTGGAACTGTTGATCCTCAGCCACGTAGCAACTACACTGGCACAATACAACCTAAAAAAAAGTAAAAACTTGTGTAAGTAAGTGGTTTAAAGGCCACAACAGCAGCTCACCAGCACCTGTAAGGATGATGTGGCTGCAGACAATAACTTGTTCAGTTATTTTGGGTTTCTTTAACTCTGTTTCAATGAGGATTTTTTGCTCACAAATGAAGTGAAGCCACGAGGCTGTGACATCTCTGTGCTGAGCTCCACACAGAACTTCACACAGTTTTAGTGAGAATTAACCCTTCAGATCACTTATGAGATTTATCCATGATCCTGCAGTATCTAGTTTGGGGCTGGATGAAAGCTCTCTTCTTCAGAGAGCCAAACCACAGAGGAATTAATGCTCAAGTCACTTACTGTGGGATCTGAAATCAATCTGTAGAACAAACAGAAAGAGTCTGTGGGAAGGACATTTGTGGTGCTGGATGTTCTGCACCACTCATTCCACAGCTTCACAACTCCAACCACTTCCCAGCACACAGAATCCAGGATAAAAGATGACAGGAAAGCTGCAAAAGCCATAAAATATGCTGTTAATTTATAAAGAATAAAACCTCTGTTTTACAAATATATAGCTGGACTAAATCAGAATATTCCTTTGCAACCTGAAGGAAGAATACCTCATTTTTATCAACTTAGATTTACTAACCAAATCTAAGAAACATCAACAATGTGATTAGCCCCACTATATTCAAATTTAAAAAGATGAAGAGCTGTTCAACATGTACAGATCCCTAACATAAAAATCACTTGTTCTTAGGAATTATAGCATTACAATCAACTTCAATTTCTTTAGTACTAATTAAGGATGTGAAATATCCTTAATCTGACATAGCAGATTAAAACCAAAAATCAGTGAAGCAACAAGGCACAACTATTACATTGATTCTAGAAAACAGAGGCAAGAGTGTGGCAAAAACGTTCAGAAATCAGATTCCTATCAAAAGCTACAGAAGACAGATCCAAAATAGCTATTACTGTTTTTCAAGGGAAAACCTGAACAAAACCCGAACAAATGAGCAAAGTTAACTTTGATAAAATCTAAATGTGATGTAAATGTCACTTCAATGCAAACAAGACTTCTGGGTACTATTAGATTCAAACTTTTGCCAGTTAATAAACAATCCCAGAGTTTACCAAACAAAAGCCAGTTAAAGGAAAAGGGGGACTGTCCTAACTAAAATACCAAATTAATGTGATGTAAATATCACTTCAATGCAAACAAGACTTCTGGGTACTATTAGATCAAAACTTTTGCCAATTAATAAACAATCCCAGAGTTCACCAAACAAAAGCCAGTTAAAGGAAAAGGGGGACTGTCCTAACTAAAATACCAAATTAAAACACATTTCACTTTTCAACTGAAAATACATCAACTTTCACGAGGAGCAAGCAGCTGTAACAATAACTGTGTTTTACATCTACAGAGCAACTTCAGCTTTCTCTGGACCACTCAGCTGCCTCCAGGTTTAACATCTGCTACTAAATAAAGAGCTGCACGTTCAGTAAATAGAGGGGATTAATAAAGGCTGGAGAGGGATATTTCAAAATCTAATGGGATGACAGGTCAAAGGGAATGAGCTCAACGTAAAGAGGGGAGGGTTAAATGGGATTTTGGGAGGGATTGTTCCATGTGAGGGTGGCACAGGGTGCCCAGAGCCTGGATCCCTGGCAGTGCCCAAGGCCAGGCTGGACACTGGGGCTTGGAGCAGGGAATGTCCTGGCACATTTACACCTCCCTCCTCCTCAATTTATTCCGCACACCCCAGCAGTTCTGGTTCTCACGCACCCGCAGCGTTCCTGCCGATGGCCACGATGAACCTGGAGCACACCAAGGGCTGCTCGGCACAGCTCCACAGGAGCTGGATCTCCCTGGGGAAAGAACCACAGAACAGCCCGAGCTGGCAGGGACCCACAAGGAATTGAGTCCCACTCCTGGCCCTGCCCAGACCCCAAAATCCCACCCTGGGCATCCCTGGCAGCGCTGCCCAAAGGCTCCTGCAGCTCTGGCAGCCTCGGGGCCGTGCCCATTCCCTGGGCAGTGCCAGCACCTCTGGGGAAGAACCTTTCCCTGATCTCCAGCTGCGCCGCCGGTACCTTTTCTTCTCGATCTCCCTGCGGATCTCCCGGTCCTCGGGCGTCTCCTCCCGCGCCTCCTCCTCCTCGTCCAGGCCGGCCCGGGACGGAGCCACCACCACCTCCCCGAAGAAGGTCGCCATGGCCGCCCGCGCCTGCGCCGCGCCGCCCTCAACCCGGAGCAGGCGCGGGAGGCGCCGGCGCGGCCCCTCAGCGCCGCTCGCAGAGACGGGGCTCCGCACCCCGTCCCTAGGCAGCTTCTTCCAAGGATTAACCATCCTTTCAGTGAAGAAAATCATCCAGATGGCCCATTTAAACCTCCCCTGCCTGACCTCGATGCTGTTTTGTCCTGTCCCTGTTCCTGGAGCAGAGCCCGACCCCCCGGCTGTCCCCTCCTGGCAGGAGCTGTGAGAGCCACAAGGTCCCCCTGAGCCTCCTTTGCTCCAG